TGGTCTTGCTAGTCATGGTGCACATGGTCTTGCAGGTCATGGTGCACATGGTCTTGCTGGTCATGGTGCACATGGTTTTGCTGGTCATGGTGCACAGGGTCTTGCTAGTCATGGTATCTATGGTATTGCAGGTATCGGTGGTAAGGGACATGGTATTGCAGGTATTGGTGCTAAAGGTCTTGGTGGACATAAAATAGCTGGTTATGGTGGAAAGGGTCTTGGATTGGGTGGATTGGGTAAAATTGCAGGTTACGGTGGAAAGGGTCTTGGATTGGGTGGATTGAGTGGATTGGGTAAAATTGCTGGTCACGGGAAAAAGAAGAAACTTGGTGGATTTGTTTCTCATGGAGGTGGTCATCACTATGGAGGACATAAGAAAGGTTTTTCGGGACATAGTGCTCATGGTGGAGGTCATAAACAAAGCAAAGTAAATTACGGACTAGGACATCAAGGTGGCAAAAAACATCATTACGATAAAGGTGGTGTGTATTTTGATAAATACGGAAAAAATCTTCATGGATTGGCAGGCGGCGGAGAATATAAAGGAGGTAAATTTGGCTCGGAAAAATTTGGCGGAACCGGTAAAACAGGCGCACTTGCTGGAGGAAAATATTTTAAGGATAAGGGACACAAGAGTCGCGGTTTTAAAAATGTATATCACAAAGAAGAATACGGCGATCATAAATCGTATCATGATGATTTTCAAGATACCGATTACAAGAAAAAGCATCTTGGTAAGCTTGAATATTTTGATCATAACGGAGGAAAATTCCATAAAGCTCATGGTGGCAAAGAATTTCATGACGCTAAAAAACACGGCGATGATTATCACAAATTTGGTAAAGGAGGATACGATACCCATCACGGAGGCGATTATAAAAAAGGAGGCAAATATTTCGATGCTGGAAGCGGATATAAACACCACGAAGGAGCTCACAAACACTTGGGTTATGAAGGAGGAAGCAAAGGTTTCCATAAAGGATATGCTGGTAAAGCTATTGGACATGGACATGGTTATATTCCATTTCATCATCATGGTTAGAGTTAAAAGCGGGAAATAGTGATTATGTTAACGGTTATTAATTTAAATGGCGAATCCTTCATAATGTACATACGATACTTGCTAAGACAAGTAATTCTTTTATACGGTATTTATTCTTTGTGATGTATTCTTGATTAGGATATCGCTTTATAAATATATTTGTTGTATCTTTTGCTGTAAATTTTTGCTAATTTATAAATATTTGCCATGTTTCCCGAAGAGAGCAATTATATGTGAATTTTCACATGTTTTAATAAAAGTGTATTAATATTTATGCAAAATTAGTCTCATTTTTTCGTAAGATACTTTAATATATTCATTTCAAACGTACTTAAACATTTTTCAAAAAAAAATATTTTACATCCAGAAATGTTACAAGCTTTATAAACACAAAACAATTTCCATTCCTTCTGTACATATTAAATATAAACTTTCAGGAAATTGTTAAATCTAAATATAAACGTAAGTAAACCATAGAAAATGATATGTATATTTTATTTGGATTATTTACTTCTTATCAACAGAATAATTTTTAAAGATAAGAAAGGAAACCGGAAATTTCCGATTTTATCCCCCTTTAATCTACAATTAAAAAAAAAGTTTGAGGCTATATATTTTAATATATTCAAGCCAGGAAAATAAATTTGCAATTTCTTGTTCTTAATATTTATTAAGGAAAAGACACAAATATACTAAACTATTAGTAATACTTTAATTATTTTATTTATTATTTAATTATTTAATTTAATATAAAAATTTTGGTTTACAGCCCTAAATAATCGAAATTTACTTCAAGCACTACAAATAGTTTATTAAATATTTTAGTATTTTAAAAAAATATATACATTTACAGGAGATTAAATAATATAAACGGTTAGATGGATGAGGCAGCTAAAGCATCAGCTGATTTGGAGGATTCGGGATCTAATTGGGGCAAGCTACTCCAGAAATCCTTTATTTATGTATCTGTTTAAAAGTGAAATCCTGGTGGGCCCCATGATTTAACGTAAATGTGTATATTAACAATAATTAGAGTTGCTATAGCTCCTGGGCTCTCTATCTCTTTTTATAACGCAATGCTCTCGATTTATCATATTTCTTCACCACTTTATACACTTGAAATTACACAAATTGTTTTCGTAGACTTTATATAAATGATTTTATTGAAAAGATTTCGAACAGGAACATTGTAAAAGTCCGAGCTTCAAAGGCTGTAGTATCTGTTTTCCATCACTTATGTCGGTCCTAACTATAATATAATCAAGTATAAAAATTTTATATAACTAATTATTATAAAATGGCAAATAATTTAATTTTGAGGGTAGAGACGTGTTTTATAAAAAAAAAAAAATGTAAATGCTAATAGTAAAATCTTCATTAAGTTCGACTCATTCGAGATATGACACACGACCCCATGTATCTCCTCCATCCCTTGATCATTAACCTCCGAAATTTAACAGCATCGATCCGTTTAATACTCAAACCTCCCAGCAAAACTTCAGAAATTTTCGATAAAATGCACGGGAGTTACTCCAGAAATTCATTCGAAAACGTACACAATATACAAATTAAGAAGATAGCAGCGACAAATTTCACTCTAGCGACTGTATTTTAAAGTAAAATATTTCCAGAAAATCGAAACCACATACAAAGAATAGTATTTACTGTATATGAAATTTGGTTGATAGTTTTTTTTTCTACAGGGAGCTTTGAACCCCTGCTGTAATTAGACAAGTAATTACCCGGTACAAGCTCTAGGATTACATAAATAACCTAAAGCAAAGAGCTAATATTACACTATATGGCGATCATTTTACATTACAGAGAAACATTATTTAATAAAACAATAACATTGTTTAAAATAGATAAATATGAATTTATTTAAACATTTATTATTCAAGAAAATAATAATTTTATAATTTAAATATTTATAAATAAAATTAAATCATTAAAATATTTAATAATGTAATTCGACAAGTTATAACGAAAAATGGCGTTAAATGATGACTTGCTGTATTCTTAAGATATAAAAATAAACTAAGAAAGCAATTCTCTTACTTTCTATTGTGGTTTGTAACACTTTATTACCCTTATTTGTTTAATAATATCTACAAGGCCATGCACATAGGAGGTTTGGGAATTTACTTCCTCCCATATGGCAATTCAGACAACGTTACTATATTAATAAAACACTATATTGTACATAACTTATTTATTTTGTACCCAATCAATCTCTCCTTGTGTTACCTGTATTGAGAAAAAGTTAATAAACTATGTTACCCACCCTTAAAAATACTGTTACACGAGTCTGAATGTAGCCAATTACAATTAAAAATAAAATAAAATAAAAATTATTTAGAAGTGAAATACTGAACGTCTTAAAATAAACTGAATGGTAAATAATAATTTACATTTTTCTTACTAATTTGTGCAATTTAATTTCATATCGAGATAAAAAAAAAATGGCGGAAAAACCGGAATTACGTCGTGCATGTATTTACGTTACGTAATGACGTCGGACTTCCATCTGTATTTATGTACACTNTAAGCATTAAATTAAATATTATATTTGGAGATAGTAACCTTTTCTGAATGATTTCCTGAATGATAAATAAAGAAAATTATAATAATCAGAGGAAAGTATTCTCCAAAATACCATCTATCTATAATATATCAATATATTTGAACTTTTTATTATAATATTTTAGGTTCTTGATATTGTTAAATGGGACATTATTGAAATATTTCTTCTTTTCTTTGCTTTTAAGAGATAAACAGATGTTCAATAGTTATTTTGAAAGGAGAATAAATACAGTATTTGTATTTAATGATCCTCATGGGATAAAATTCTGAGTTAAGAACACAATTAAGGAATGAAGTAAAAGATGTAAGATATAAAGATTTCTGTTTGTGCTTTCTAAAAGGGAAAAATATACTATTAAAATAAAGAATATATTCCTTATAAATAGACTATTTTATACACAAAATATTAATTGAAGAATTTTATTTCTGAAAATTCTTGTTGTAATCGAAATATCCAAAACAAATAACCACCGGAAAATTCCTGGTGTTTTTTCGACTCTCTATGGAGCGATAGGCTGACACCTTAATCCTCTCTTGTAATACTTTGAAGTTAAAAAAATAATAATAATAAATAACAATTATAACTTGATCTAAAGTAAATTTTACAATTTTAAAGTATTTAGAAGAATATCGACATTAATTAATTCATAGAATAATGTGACCGTATCCTTTCACGGACAATTATCCTCGTTTAGAGTTCTCGTGTTCTATAGTGTTAAAGCTTTTTCTTTACTAATGATAAGTAGGAATCGTTAATAATTATAAAAATTCGAATAAATTACATTAAATTAGACGATATGCCAATTTTAAACCAGGTAAATGATTGTGATTTTAATAGCAGATGATGGGAACTGAATGTGTTCCAGGCCAATAATTCTAATAAGTCACCAAATCTTTCATTCGCGTCACCTACTTACCTCTAATGAAAATAATGTCTTCAAAAATGTTTTCAAAAAGAATATAGACTAATCTATTATTAGAAAATGATCTTAAAGATCTTTAAAAATTAATAGTATATCCGATGTGCTTTTGAAAAATTACCTATTATATGTGCTAAATTATGTTACAACCGTACGTAAGTAAACTAAATAAGCAAAAATAAAATTAAATACCATAATTTAGTAGGTTTATCCTAAAAATAGCAGTTCTAAAAATGTGACATTAAAATATTTAATGATCCATGAATGCAATGGATTATTTACAAGTCTGATAGCTTCATTGTTTTTAATTAATTTGGATGTTTAAGTCATCGAGAATAGCCACACCAATTGACATGAATATTGATCATGTGATTAAAACCCGAACTGTATTTAAAGAGAGCGTTTGAAATGTTTGACCATCAGTTGTCCGATCTTCGAAGAAGACAGTGATCAAAATGACTCCTTCAACATGGGTAAGTGTTTAATTTCAAATAAATATAGATACTGTATAGTCTTAAGCTAATTTCATTTATGGTGAAATTTCTCTTTAGATCAAACTGAGTTTGTTGTTGGGATTAGTGATAGTGGCGGTTCACTCTCACGGACACGGTGGAGGTGGACACGGACATCATGAAAGTCATCACGAATCTCACGGAAGTAAGGGTGGACACGGTGGCCATAAACATTCTCGTCATTCTCATGGCGAACACGGCGATGGTAGTAAGCATGGCGGGCACGATTATGGCGAACACGGTAGTCACGGAGGAAAATCTGGGCACGATTCCGGTGGCTATTCACACGGTGACTATGGTAGTGGTCATCATGGAGAATCTGGCGGTGGAGGTTACCATGAAGGTAAACACGACTTTAGCAGTTACGGCGGTGGCGGTTCTAGTGGAGGTTCTTCCGGTGGAGAACATCATAAGAGCAAAGGACACGATCATAAAGGTTTCAAAAATGTTTATCACAAAGAAGAATATGGCGATCAAAAATCTTATCATGATAGCGCTGGAGAAAGTGACTATGGTAAGAAACATAGCGATCATGGAGAAAGCTATAAATTTGGTGGCGGAAAAAGTCACAAGAGCTACGGCGGCAAAGATTCTTATGGATCCAGCAAACATGGCCACGACTATTCCAAACATGGCAAAGGAGGACACGATAGTCATCACGGAAGCGGATATAAGAAAGGAGGTGGTCATCATAGCAGTCACGGAGGACATAAATCCGGAGGAGGAGGACATCACAGCAGCGAACATGGAGGAGGTCATCATAGTCACGGCAGCAGTGAACACTCCGGAGGAAGTCACGGCAGTAGCTACGGACATGGAGGTGGAGGCGGCGGTCACGGACACGGACATGGCCATCACTAATTATGAGCTTGGATTTCACGAATATTTGCTTATCTATGAGACATGTGTACAGAGCTTAGCTGTTAATAGAATTTCAATTCATGAAATGATTTTAAGCTTTATATTTTGGGCATTATTAATATTTTCCCGGTGTAAAGTGGAATGATACGCTAAATTTATATAATGTAACTTTTATATAATAAAATATTATCATTTAAATCTTGCATTTGTGAGTCAAATAAATTTATCTTGTTAATAAAATCTTAGAAATAATATATAAAATAATAGGTTTATACCTATATTAATAAATTTTTAGTATAGGCTACTATTCTAAATACAGAGTAATACCATAATAAAATACTTTTATATTTAAAAAAATAAACAAATAAATTCCACGAATCAATATANTTTTATACAAGCTTCTCCGCATCGCTATACTTTGCAAATGGTGTAAAGGGAAAGGGAGCAAAATATAATATGGAAATTCGCTGGGTATATAAAATGCTTACAAAACTGGTATATTTAAGTTGATAAAAGTTTTATTTAGTAAATAATAAAATAAAAATCCGGTCAAACTATACAAGAAAAGAATAAAAATCATTTACAATAACAGAGTTAAATAAGTAAAGCTAATTGCCTAGAGCGGAAGTCATTTATATTTTCTACTATATCACTTTTCTTTTCTAGTATCTAAGAAAAGATATCTGCATAAGTGAACACCCAAAATTTTTTTTTCTCTGCTCTACTTGATTGTTTGTTCCATTAGGAACGCCTGTTTGTTCAGTCATTTGTAAGCATAAAGCATCTTTTATCACGCAATACCATCATTTTTAAAGTAAAGGTAATTATTAAGAGATTCTGTTTAACGTACAAAAAGTAAATTTTCTATAAGATCAACAAATTTGAGAGGTTATTTTAATAAAACTACTGAATATAATTAAATTTCTCTATAAAGATGGAAATAAAAGTCTTAAATGATGTTATAATATTCAAGTATATGTTTTAAATAGTTTACTCTAGCTTAAGTAGTAAGAGATATAATTCTTCAGCACCTTTTAATTTTTAATAAAAAAGAAAAGAAATTTAATTGGATTAATGAAATAAGGCAAGGCAACATATGTCTTTCTATAGGAAATTGGACCGTATTTAGTGTTAGATACGTGAAATAAACCCGGAAAACTCCGCGCGACAAATCCATTGATCCAGTGTTCTCCAGTGTTTAGTAGTTTTATCCACGTGGCCACTGTTGGACAAAATAAATAAATAAATCGATAATGCTTGATAAAATATTAATTTTTAACAAGAAAAGTTTATATATTATTTCATTATAAATTTGTAATTTCTAACAATGTATTATAAAAATTTTAATTATGAATTTCCAAATCAAAAAGAATATGATAAATATCTAGCAATTTTTCGGTTACTTAATTTTGAATATAAATCATAATAAATATGAAGATTTATATTTAAAAAAAGAGGACTATTTATATTACAATATTATTAAATATTAATTTATTTTATAATATCGTAAAAAAAATTCGTCCATTTTAAATAGATATTAAAACTTTAATGTTAATTAAAGCCACGTACAGTACGTACGTAATTAAATAATTTTACTTAGTTTTATATAATAAAAGATTAAATTCTATTCTAAGTTTTAGAAAAATTATATTTATTTTTATACGTGATTTAATTATACTTTAGTCTAATTGTTATTATTAAAACTTTAATGCAAAGTCTATGCAAGAAATTTTTTAAAAGAATAAGCTACAAAGACAATTAGCACTTTTTAAATTTAAACGTTGAAGAAAGCCCTTAGGATAATTTATATTTAATCTAAACATATCTTACTTTAAGCAATTAAGGAAATTTCATAATGTCCCACTTGACTTTTAATTATTAGGAAACATAATTTTAGTTTTAAATGCTTTTTAATTACACATTTAATTTTTAGGACTTGAAAACAAAAATAATATAGAAACGTGAGAACGTATTTTAATTTATTTAAGCTGATTTTAGAAATAAACTTTAATCATTTAAATAGAATATATAATAATAATTAAAGTTCGAAAGGTGTATTGATTATATTTTTGATGAGCAATAAATTTTTTAACTTAGAACATTAGTTATATAAAAAATATGACCTGAACTCTTGACATAAATACGATACTAAAAATCAATCTATCACAATTATAGACGAGTTTAATTTTAAAATAAAAAATTAATGATTGTTAAAGTAGTTAGATTCGCTAAATAGAAGGCATGAGAATCTTCTTTTTTATCTCTATAAATTTCTATATAAGGAGAAATGAAATCAGTTGATTTTACATTCATCAACACCTTCCAAAAGTGTAGACTATGGCTTCTTTCGTAAGTATTTTGTCGATAATCTTCTGATTTAGAAATATACAAAGTTTACTTCTATTTGCATTATGTTACAGCTCTCTTTATCTATCTTCTGCACTATGCTACTGTTAATCCATGCTCATGGACATGGAGGAGGTTATGGTGGCCATGGTGGTGGTGGACACGGAGGTGGTCATGGAGGCGGCCATGGTGGTGGGCATGGTGGAGGCGGTGGTCACGGAAGTAGTGGAGGTCATAAATGGGGAGATTTCTCAGAACATCATGACAGTGGAGGAGAGAGCGGACATAAAAAATGGGGAGAAGACCACGGATCTCACGGTGGTCACGATAAAAGCTCGAAAGACGATTATGGTAATTTTTTCAGTGGAGGAGGTGATAGTAGTCACGATAGCGGAGGACATTCTTATGGAGGTTATGGCAGCGATCACCACGGCTCTTCGGGAGGAGGAGGACATTCCTCGGGAAAAAACGATCACAGTAGTTACGGAGGAGGAGGTAGTTCCGGAGGCAATTCTGGAATGGGAAGTCACAAAAGCAGAGGTGGGAAAAGTAGCGGGTTCAAAAATGTATACCACAAAGAAGAAGGAGGTGATTCAAAATCTTATCACGAAGATTTCGGAGATAGCGATCATAAGAAGAAACATGGCGACCATCACGAAGGATGGAAACATGGAGGAGGAAGTCACCACGAGAGTCACGACAACAAGAAACACGGCGGTCACAGTAAGAAAGGCAGCGATTATCACAAATCCGGGAAAGGTGGACACAGCAGTCATCATTCCAGTGAAGGAAAGAAAGGCGGCGGACATCATAGCAGTGGAGGTGGACACAAATCTAGCGGAGGTGGTCATCATAGTAGTGGTGGCAGTGGAGGACATAGCAGTCACGGAAGCAGCGGAAAATCAGGTGGCAGTCATAGAGAAAGTCACGGTCATGGAAAAGGTCGATAAACTTTTAATTTTTATTTTATACAAGCTTCTCCGCATCGCTATACTTTGCAAATGGTGTAAAGGGAAAGGGAGCAAAATATAATATGGAAATTCGCTGGGTATATAAAATGCTTTATTTATGGGCCTATAAATTAAGAAATAAGCCATCAGGCATTTATGTAAACAATTTGTAAATTAGCCAAAATTAACAATTTAATTGTTAATTTTTAAATAAATTTTAAATCCTTAATAAAAACTTTTGTTTACATTTATTTCCTTAATCATTAAAAACAAAGAGTAAATATAATAAAATATTCCATTAATTAAAGATATTTCTCCATTATTTACATAACTTAGTAACCAAACAACTTTTTTTTAAGTAAGCAAATTATTCCAGAAGTAATGGCTTAAATATATAAAGAAATTTTAAAATATTCACCAACGAGTTATGTAACTTTCCCGGTAACAACATTCTAAACTGCGAGTGGCCCTATCTGTTATGTCACTTTATTTTAAAAATTTTATATAACTAATTATTATAAAATGGCAAATAATTTAATTTTGAGGGTAGAGACGTGTTTTATAAAAAAAAAAAATGTAAATGCTAATAGTAAAATCTTCATTAAGTTCGACTCATTCGAGATATGACACACGACCCCATGTATCTCCTCCATCCCTTGATCATTAACCTCCGAAATTTAACAGCATCGATCCGTTTAATACTCAAACCTCCCAGCAAAACTTCAGAAATTTTCGATAAAATGCACGGGAGTTACTCCAGAAATTCATTCGAAAACGTACACAATATACAAATTAAGAAGATAGCAGCGACAAATTTCACTCTAGCGACTGTATTTTAAAGTAAAATATTTCCAGAAAATCGAAACCACATACAAAGAATAGTATTTACTGTATATGAAATTTGGTTGATAGTTTTTTTTTCTACAGGGAGCTTTGAACCCCTGCTGTAATTAGACAAGTAATTACCCAGTACAAGCTCTAGGATTACATAAATAACCTAAAGCAAAGAGCTAATATTACACTATATGGCGATCATTTTACATTACAGAGAAACATTATTTAATAAAACAATAACATTGTTTAAAATAGATAAATATGAATTTATTTAAACATTTATTATTCAAGAAAATAATAATTTTATAATTTAAATATTTATAAATAAAATTAAATCATTAAAATATTTAATAATGTAATTCGACAAGTTATAACGAAAAATGGCGTTAAATGATGACTTGCTGTATTCTTAAGATATAAAAATAAACTAAGAAAGCAATTCTCTTACTTTCTATTGTGGTTTGTAACACTTTATTACCCTTATTTGTTTAATAATATCTACAAGGCCATGCACATAGGAGGTTTGGGAATTTACTTCCTCCCATATGGCAATTCAGACAACGTTACTATATTAATAAAACACTATATTGTACATAACTTATTTATTTTGTACCCAATCAATCTCTCCTTGTGTTACCTGTATTGAGAAAAAGTTAATAAACTATGTTACCCACCCTTAAAAATACTGTTACACGAGTCTGAATGTAGCCAATTACAATTAAAAATAAAATAAAATAAAAATTATTTAGAAGTGAAATACTGAACGTCTTAAAATAAACTGAATGGTAAATAATAATTTACATTTTTCTTACTAATTTGTGCAATTTAATTTCATATCGAGATAAAAAAAAAATGGCGGAAAAACCGGAATTACGTCGTGCATGTATTTACGTTACGTAATGACGTCGGACTTCCATCTGTATTTATGTACACTTCTTCAAATGTAACGACATCTGCCGTTATAAAATCACACTAATAATTTTATAACAAAATTTGATTTTAAAATATATATTTATCTTTAATTGGTTAAATGTATATACGTGCATTGAAATACCATTCGTTGTCTTAAAAATTAATTAAAATATTTATTATTCTAATCGTAAACTTTCTTAAAATTATAAATTATAATGTAATTAATTATTTATAAATTCTCTTGTTTTTTAATAAGTTTTAAGAGCGATAAATAAAACTAAAATCTCTTATGAATTGATTGATAATTGCATATCGACAATATCGGGTTGAAGAAACTATTGCCAATAGGTTCTATATAAATTTATTTTATTATATAAGCTATAATTTACTAATTAAATTAATAATAAAATAAGAAACCAAGTAACAAACACTTCAGCAGTCGAAAATTAGAAGTATTAACTGCCAATTCCAATTAATAATCTACTCTTAGCAATAACAATTGATTGACATAAATATTTCCATTTAATGATAATGAGCCCTTGATAATAACAAGTAATTGACACTTCCAATTAATGATAATAAGCCCTTAGATTATCAATAATTGTATCGACAATTACCTGTTATTAAATTGATTGAAACTAATAATCAATTGATCGTCGATAACAGTAAATAATTGCTAATTTTGATTAATTAATAATAGTCATGTCTTGTTAATTAGACTACTGTTTGAAATAGTTTGTATGATAGAAGTAAATAAACTTTTTTATTTAAACTTTCTGTAATATAATTAAAAGTTCAGTTCGAGGGTTCTTTAATTGGGCTCTTACTTATCCAACTTAAAGAAAGTTGAATTCTTGGTGTACAACACAATTATGAAAGCTTGAAATAAACTAAATATATACCAAAATTTTATTAAAATATTAAGATTATTTAATGATTTTGAAGCATGTTATATGAGTGTAAACATTACAATGCGTTATAATAATTATATATAAAATTATCTTCGATTTATTGGGCTGAAATGTTACAACTAATCACCTATCTTACATCTTATAAAGCAATAAAAATCAGTCTGAGGCTGATTTAAAACTTCCTTCAGACATCAAAACTATAGAAGAAAGATATTTGATGAGGCCAATGATTCTAAGAATTAGGGACAACCATAGTACTTAAATTGATAAAATGCCTTTAAAACTATTTTTCCTTTACATGTTCGAAAACTGTAACTTTTACGTTCGTTTTATTTATTTTTAATGTAATTTTTATATTTATAGAGTAGATTTACGTGTATGTAAGCACCATTTAAAGATTTTAATCTTTGGTTTTAATGAAAAACGAATAGACATTTTAAAACTATAAGATTAAAACAACGTTATAAAATGTTAAATTTTGCAATTATTTTCAAGATGCAACAACAGTTAATGATTTAGAATATTTCTTAAGACATTAATATAACTAGAAATAAAATTCTGTATAAATTACACATTATATTTTAATTAAAAAAATATATTTATATATAAAGTTTTCGTTATTACTTAGATATAAAAGTGATATATTATACAATACCCTATATTATTTTATTTATTATAAATATTTAAGTAGAGAATTCTCTAATATTTATGGGAAAGATTCATTAGCATTTCACGAAGGTAGTGCTATTTAGGAAGACGTTATATCGAGTTTATTTTAATTAAGAACTGGTTTTCTTTAAAAACTACCTTCGAAGAAATTGATAATGGGAGATATGATTTCTTCTCTTCTATATTTTCGAAAATTACCCATAGTTAAATACAATTATTTTAATTAAATGTCATTATCGGTGTCCTCTTTCCATTTAAAACTATCTTTAAAAGTCAATTTCTGAAAAGAAAAGAAAAAAAAACAGGAAAGAAAAACTTTAATTTTGATACAAATAATCAGGTCGACAGTGTTATGGGAAAATGAAATAGTTTAAATTAATTGCATATAGTTTAATTAATTTAATGATAAAACTTTAAATTCGAGAGGACCATATAAGAGTGGTTTATTCATAGCAAAATTTTACTGGAAGAAGAAATGTATAGAACGAAGAATGAATTAATTAACATTTTAAACTTTAACTTACATGTAATATAATCTTAAATTTTGATTCTTTCAGCCCTATGAATACTAAGACGACCTTTTTTCATACCCGTCGTGGGTTAGACCAGGCCCACAATTGGGCAGATGAGAGTTCGATATATCCGGGATGGACCACTCTCCCTGAAAATTCTTAGAGTTGTAGCCTAATGTCTTAATATTATAATGTAAATTAACTTAACTTAATGCTTTTTTAATAATAAATTTCTAGATAATATTAGCTGAAAATTGTAAGAAATTCAAAATATATATAAATACAGTTTTTAAATCTTATTTAATGCATTGTTTCTTTATTACAAAGTGCTTATTTTTGCTTTAATTATGAAAAGAAGCATTAAAACAATTGTTAAATTGCTTCTTAATTGATATATTTTATATTGTTTAAATAGCACTTTTTATATCTGAATTAGAATTAAAACATTTGATAAACGATCATTTATTTATCATTTTAAGAAAGGATTTGTTCTAAATAATATGCTTTTAATGTAGTAAAACGTGTACACTTTTTGTATTTTAAATACATAATATATTTTATAATTTCTATTTTAATAAATTAAATATATAGTCTATATATATAAACTTTAATGTATATTAAATTAAATAAATCATTTATTTAGTTAAATTATCATATGAATTTTATATCATTAAATTTGTATATAAATAGTTTAAAATGTAGCTATAATTAATTCCAAAATTTAGGTTATTTTTTTAAAATTTATTTCGAGTAAATAGACAAATATATTTTTGTAGATGTGACCTGTAAGTATAGAGGAAAAAAATGGTGACTAACTTACTAAATTATCGGATCATTGACGATCAATTTACAATTTTCTCACCGTTGTAATTGAAATAGTTGTTCTATTAACTTGTTCCAATTGAAACACTTCTTTTAAATAATTATTTAGATCCAAAATATCATCAGACTCCACCTAGTTTGATGACATCTTTGACATCATTATCCTCTTTTCTATCTGTATAAAAGCTAAACACGGGAAATGTTTTCTATTTTGATTTAAATTCTCACAAAGTTTACATCATGGACAAGAAATATATGGTAAGTTAAGTTTTAAATTGCTACTATATATTTAAATATTTTTAAAAAGAACGTGATAAGATTATTTTATATTTTACTAGCTTCTAGCTCTTGTCCTTTCTATTCTATTTATATATTCGGATTGTCATGGTCATGGAGATTATTCAGAGAAACATGGGGAACATTCTAGTTATTCCGATAGTGGTGGAAGCGGAGGACATAAAAAGTCTGAACATTCTGAAGGTTCACATGGTGACAGTTCTAAACATGGACACGATGATCATGGTAGTCATCATAGCCATGGTGGAGACAACAAGCATGACTCAGGTGGTCACTCCAATGAAGAATATGGGCACGATCATCATGAATCTTCCGGTGGAGGAGGACACGATAGCGGAGAACATCATGATAGTAACTACGGAGGAGGAGGATCTAAGGGTGGAAACGATGGAATGAGCCATTTTCACAAGAAAGGCGGTAAAAGCAATGGCTTCAAAAATGTATACCATAAAGAAGAATATGGAGATCATAAATCATATCACGATGAATACGGCGATAGTGATTACAAAAAGAAACATAGTGATTATCACGATGAATATAGTAAGAAGGGAGGAAAACATTCCGAAAGTCATGATGGCAAAAAGCATCATCACAGTAATAAAAAGGGTAGCGATTACAGCAAACAAGAAAAAGGTGGTCATAGCAAACATCACGAAAATGAATACAAAAAGGGAGGAGGACATCATAGCAGCAGTGGACGACATAAGAATGAAGGTGGAGGTCATCATTCTAGCAGTGGAAGTAGTGGCCATAAAAAAGGAGGAAGTAGGAGTTCTTCGGGTGGCGGCTATAGAAGTAGTCATGGTAGCGGAGGTGGACATGGCGGCGGACATGGCGGTGGACACGGTGGAGGACATGGCGGTGGACACGGTGGAGGACACGGTGGAGGACACGGTGGAGGACACGGTGGTGGACACGGGGGTGGTCATAAAGGCTCTGGAAGCGAACAAGTTTTTGTATTTTCTAAAAACTTTGCCAATTTTGCGAAAAAACTCGAAGGCTTCAGCAAACATTAATGATATAAAAATATGTATTTAATAAATATATGTTTGAATTATAATAATTTCTTTATAAAGACTTTATTCTAACTTTTTTTTCAAATATATCTAATAAATAAAATCAATATTCCAAGCAAAATTTGACTTGATTTATATTTCCTCCAAAAGATGGCAGAGCTGATTTGGGAGATATGTCAGATAGACAAAACTTCCCAAAACTATATACTCAATATATAAAATTAAGAATAACATTTGATATAATCCGGATATATTTAATAAAATACCAATATTATATATTTTTAAAATTGTTAAATAAAACTACAAAGCAAATTTTATTACGCGTAAGAATAATTATATAGAATGAATAAATTTTATATTGTGATAAAGTTAAATTAATTTACAATATTATTTATTATTACTTTTACACTTTTATAGAATTTTTTTAATGTTTAATTCATTATTAAGTATCTCAATTTTCTAATTTAGTTTAACAAACTTAAATTATCATTAACTAATTGATTAGAAAATTAATATACTGAGTAATTGCATATAATCTTAGCATTAAGGCTAGAAAAGACAGATTAAGCTCNTTATTGTCAAAATAGCTCCTATCTAGAAGTCTGTAAACCCTTTTCCTGCTATATACAGCACCATAATAGAAATAATTTTCTAATATTTAAGCTATAAAATTATATATATTTTATCTACAATTTGTTAAAATTATAAAAATAATATAAAATTTGTAAATTTATTTTTTAATAAACTTAGTTTGCCTTCTGAACAGGAGAAAATCTTAAAATTTTTAATTTGTCTAATAAAATAAACAATATAAAAATTTTTATATAAGTTTAAATGACATGAAAATCTAACAAAATTAAGAAATAATGATAAAATTATTCAAATATTATTTTTAAAAATAATAATAAAGCTCTTGTTAACAATAAAAATCTCTCTAGATTCGTTTTTGCCTCTGGATCTCTTCTGGAGAAGATAAATTCTGACCGCTACTCCCCCCTCTCTCTCCGCAGTTGGGAGCCCATTATGGCCCACTTAGTTTGGACTATTATTCTGTGCAACTCCAATTTTTTCCCTAGAAAAGAAAAGAAAAAAAATTGGAGTTGTTCAAAATAATAGTCCAAAGTTGATGGTCATGATGGGGATTTCTACCCTAGTTTAAACTAAAATATCAGAGAATAATTGATTTCACTTATGCAAATATTTTAAAGAAAATCGTTTTATTACATTAATAATAAGTTTAATTTGAAATAATCTCAAGAAGAATAAAATTGTTATAAAGCAAATTACAAATAATTTTTTTGTAATATAAATTACATTATTTATTTAAATTTTTATACATTTAATTCTTATCTTCTACTAATTTTATATAAATTTTAACATAAGATACTCTTCTAAACTTCATATCAAATAAAGAATTGCATGTTCTCATATGTAAATGTTTATTTGAAGTTCCAATGTAATATTCTTGTATACATCTTACTAAAATGCAATAAGTAAACATGATTAATGCTTTAATACTGTAACTATTAAATTCTGTAGTGTTGTAACTACTAAATGCACTGATGCTGTAAATGATAACTGCTCTAATGAACAAATGGATTTGAATCTCCACGAATGATTTAAATCTTAAACATTCTATTGATTGTATATATTGAATTCTAAAAAAATGTAACATGAAATACTATAGAAAAATTTTCATCATAAAAATTTTTTAAAATGTACAAAAATAAATTATTTAAATTCAATCATAAAGCATAAAAATTAATTAATAATCCAAGAAGAAATGTTTAAGCTGGTCTAGATGATGAGCAGGATGATCTCATGGTTGAACTTGTTGAATTTAAAAGATTCTTTAAGAGATAAAAATAGATAAAGGAAAGTTTTGACAGATGAAAGATGATTTATCAAAAATATAAATCACTGCTATGGAATGAAAATTTTATATATATATATATATATATCAATACATTAAGGAGAAAAAGGACTACTTTCTCGTAATAGATTTCAATTTATCGTAAAGAAATAACACTGTACTCCAACTAAGTTGCGTAAAAGTAGAGTTACATAATCACTGATTAAAATAGAAATAAAATTCTAATTTACAAGGTAAATTATATAACAAAGATAATAGAAGGAGTCAGTTGAAGGGGTGAATGGAAAAGTGGAACGAATGACAAAATAGTTTTCTTTATTAAAAGTAAAAAAGTATTAGTTTAATAATAATAGAATTGCCACTAATACGTTCAAGTTACACTATTTTTAGCCTTAATCTGTAATAAATTAAAGGTTAATTTGCAAAGTTATAACACCGAACTAAAGTAAAAATAATGAATATTTTATGTTATTTAGAAACTCAGAATATCTGAAATATTCATATACAGTTTAAAAAATAAATGTAAAAGGTAGAAAATTGGCTTTAAGATGAATATGAGAAATGCAAAACTTGATATTGAAAGTTGAAAATAACTCATAAAGTTTGTAATATTAATGGCATTTTGAATAGAATTATTCTGAATGATATATAAGCAAAGAGTTTGCATAAAGATATTTTCTAAAAATGTAGAAATATTTTTAGGGAATAAATGACAAAAGGGCAAAGTAGAATCTAGTAAAATAATATTTTCAATGAATAACCTAAAATGTTAAAACGGTATTGTATATAAAGATATGTTGAGTGACATCAACAGATACCTTACATACACCCACTCAAGCTGAAAGAAAAAGGATAATTGATTATCATCTTTGGATAAAATCATTCATCTTTAATAATTAATTAAGTTAGTTAAGTTTAATAGTCTTTCGATAGATAAAGGATATTAATATTTACTAACTATTATTTGATATCAAATGAATTAAATCACGTATAAATAAAAATCTAATACGAGCAATTATTTCGTCACAATGCCGGACAGCAATTTTAATTCGTATTTTTAATTTATTGAATTTAAAATATATGCTTTCCACCTCAAATTAGTAGTGGTTTGCCCCTGTACATCATACTTTTCCTTTAACAATAGAGTCGTGCCGGTTATCTATCTAACACCTTTCAGGGGAAACTTTTGAATTTAAATCATGTAATTTCCTATGAAAACCGCTTACCTTACCTTATCAATTTATTTCAGAATTGTTTAGATTAATCGAGAATAACAGTATAGAAACAATTAAACGATATCGTTACGTTCTATCTCCGTTAAAACAATATAGCAAATCTAAATTAGAAACAACAGAAAGGTATTATTTACTTAAAATAATAATAGTGAAAAATCAATAACAGCAATAATTGATTTCTCTGGATTGAGAAGATCTTTAAACAATTTAGAATTGATTGAATCTAACGTCGACTAGAACCGCTAACAGAATTTAATGCCTACTAAAGCCATCAATCACTCAAATAAAGAAGATTTCGAGAAGCTCTTCAGCATTCTAAATGTTGTCCTTGCTTAAAATATAAGATACTATTCATATTCATTCCTCCTTTCCTGGGAAGATTTAGTACCTATTAATATTTTATATTAGGTCTGTACTAGAAAAATAAAATAAATAAATAATCAGTTTAAAGCTTTAAAAAACTGTGAATATAAATATTTTACATAACTTATTCTGATATTATCGATTGCTGGTTTCATGTTTTTTAAAATCTTGTTGAAGTAAAAGAATTGTAAAGTCCTAATCTTAAGATTTTAAAGAAATATTAAGAGTTTTTATATCGTCTTTACATAAATATAGTATATATTTAATTAGAAATTAAGTTAATAAATGGTATTAATTAGTTATAAGCTACTTAATATTATAAATCTATAGTAATTTATACTTGGAATATTAATACTTTCTTTTATTTAAAGAAAAACACTAAAAAAACAAAATAAAAGTGGTTTCCAGTTCACTAAAGGCATTTTCCAACTTCCTTCGTTAGAGGATAATTTTTGTACATCGATTTAAAAAAAAAACAGATTTACAATGGAATTATAAAAGTTTGCTTTAGGGTGAATTTTCTAAAGGACTAGACCAAAGTTTTTCCTTGTTTTTCCACATCAAAAACTATGTGTTAAAGTAAAGACCATTTATCTGTGTTACACCAAATACATAAGTCAAAGTAACAAATGTTCAAGAGAGAAGAAAAATTGTTCGAAAAGTTTACGTGATGACTATAGTTAATGTATTAAATTAATTCATTTAGAGTATTTTATTGAAAAAATATAAGATTTATATCTTTAAAAAATCAAATTTTAAATAAATCTGGCATGATCTATTGATTCTTAACAGAAAAAAATCATTTTACACTAATTATTACGAACTTTAAAGATGATTTACTTTAAATAATATGCTTAAAAAGTAAATAAAATATATTATAATTATAATTTAATCAATTATATAATATTAACATCAATAAAAATTCGTATAATTTAAAAAATAAATTCAATTTTTAATAAAAATCGTGGTAAACACGCGATAAGAATCTTCACAGTTTGTGATAATATGGAATATATCTGAATTTTCTGTTCGCAAAAAAAAAGTAACTTATCTTAATAACGTTCCCAAACAAAATATTTTATCAATAGATTATCTCTTTTTAAAATCTGTATTAAAAATAGTACAAATTATGAATGCATCAATGCAGATTTTCCTTGTTAAAAAGGCAATATGGATCAATATCATACCTGTTTTTTTGCAATTGATATAGGAGAAAATATTTAATAAAGTCTTAATTTATATTAAAATTTCGATAAGTTGAGTTGAATTTCTAATATAAATTTTAAATATTTAGAATTCTATACAAGTTCTAATATATAAGGAAAACAAAATTCAGATTCCTTAGAAAATTATTGCATTTTAAACATATATCAAGTCTTTATAGAAGTTATATTTTCTAGAATTACTTATATAAAATAGAATGTCTCGCTGTCTATCCGTCTGTTTGTTCTCTATAAACTTCTAAACCCTTTGACTGATCTGCACCAAACTTTTCTCTAGGATCCCGAGGGAAATATAAGCTATCATAA